CAGCAGAAACTAGCCAGAATGCTGCTCTGAAACTCCACAAAATGCTGTGTTGCCAACCAAAATGGAATCTGAGGTAATTCATTATATAAAATCAAAAATGTAAACGATACTTAAAATTACTCTGGTGCAAAGGCTGAACAATGACCAGAGGATTTGTTGAAGCCAGTCTCTTTCAGCAATTTGCAAAGGAATCCCAAAAATTAATCCACCAACAAAAAATTTTCCCAGAACAGGAGTAAATAATGAAAGTATACTACATCTCCAGCTATGAACAAACCAGCAGCTAAAGATGCTCTCCCGTGCATTAAATTACTAACCTCAAACTCAAAAGAAAGTTGCGTAGTAGTAGCAATAAAGCAATTGAAAATTTTAAAAAGAAGATAACGTCTTATAACTATGTCTATATTTCTAAGATGTTAAAGAGCAAATTCCTGAATGCTACATACTATTAGAACATTATTCCAATAAAGTTCATCCACTAATAACCATATCTAAAGCAGCGTGGAATACATGATGAATATATCAGGTCCATCCCATTTATATTTCTAACTTAAAGCTGAACAGACACTAGGTCTGTTCATGAATCATTTATATTAAATCTTACTGGTGAGGTACACTGCCTGCTGCAAGTTGCCCCCAGAGAAGCAACTGCTGCTGGGTAATGACCGAGCTGACTTCCTAGGTAGACATGGAGCTGGAGGACAGTAAGAGCTCTCCTTATGTTCCTACAAGCATATGATCAAGGCATGACTTGTATCTGCCAGATGACAGAGAGGTATTAGTTAGCCGAGGCGCGCGCGCGTGTGTGTGTGTGTTCTGAAACAGTGCAAAGTTTTGATGCTGCTTAAGATGAAGCAGCCTCGCTCATGCCCTCTCTCATTTTCTTCTCTTTAGCTTTCTTTCTCCCTTTCTCACTTACTCTGTGCTCTTCTCTCTCTCCCCGTGTTTCTGTTTTGACAGTAAGTCTTGTAATTACTTGGGCAGCAGTCTGTTGGCTGGAGCTTTGCCTGGAGCGCTGCACTAGCCACGGATAACGACAGAGCTTTAGTATTGGGAGCAAACAAAAACATACCAGTGCGCTGGCTAGTCCATCTCAATATAACTAATGTACAAGTCTTTAGTTAAGTTTCTGGGGAGAGAGAAAGATGTGGCAGACCAATATTCAATAATTTAATGTAAATCACTTGCCCCCTTTAATTAACTATCAAGTGTCTGTAACATTTTCTTTAACAAATAGTGGGCCAGTTTTTAGCACAAAACTGCCCTGTTGTAAAGGCATTTCAGAAAGATAAAGAAACAGCAGACAACAGAAAAAAAGAAAAGGAGACAAGCAAAGACAACAGGACTGGATAAAGTATGGTCTTAATGATATTTGAGAAAACTGAAATCAAAAAATGGAATTTGGAAAAAACAAGTTTACGTTAGTAGGAACTTAAAAATATGAACTAACCTTCTTAACTCCAACTAAATCAATTTTTCATGAAGCACAGAATGGGCTCCGGGACAATGTCAGAGCCTCAGAGCTTGGAGAGTCCTTATCCTATTACCTGCCAATCATGTCCCCGCACAACTCGATTACGTACTTTACCTGTGACTTCAACTACCTGCATTGGGAAGTCAAGGTGTCAAAATATTGATTCCATTAATGTCGCACTCAAAATAATGACACCGGCTGAAGAGTTATGGCCCTCCAGATAAAGGACTAATAAGGAAGCAGTAATCAAAGAGTGGCAGTGATGAAGTAGGTGACATTTAAGACTTGTAAAGAAGAAGGCTGCAGATTGGAGTCTACAAGTTCCAAAGGATCCAAACAAAGGAAAGCCCTTAGTGTCTGGATCAGCAGCATTATCCATCTCACTGTATTGATTTACTTCGGTTACAGCTGGCCTTTTAACTGGAAGATGTCACTTGTCATTTCCCGGTTCTAGGATAGTTTCATACAGACAGAAGGAAAAGCAAGGCTAAAAATGAACAAAACCTTAACCGTCTATGATAATAAATGAAAAGATGTCCTGGTCCTTCAAAACAGGACAAAACAACTTAAAAGGAGGAAATATGTCCCCCAAAAAAGAAATCAGCATTAGTAAGTTTGATTCTATTATAGCCTTTATTTCTTGTAATTTTACTTATGTGGCATTTCCATTTTTCTCTTGATAATAGCGTTTCATGCCACAAAATTTAGACTATTTAGTAATTTCAACAGAGATCAAACAAAAAACTGGTGGGTTTATTTGACTGTGGATACTGTGTGCTACAGTTTGCGTATCCAGCTATGTACCCTCTTCATCAATATCACTATCGGCGATGGCGTTAGAACAGCTGAATACCCAATGTCAAGTGGTCAGAAAGTGAATTAAGTTACTAGGATTAAACTATGCCCTCTGCAAAGCCCAAGATAGCACACAACTAATCATTAGATCCAATGCTTTGTGGAGGGTAAAAGTGGATTTCTCAGAAACGATCAGCGAAAGCTTTGTTTAATTGTATTGCAACAATGTGGTACAATATCCAAAATTGGCTAAGGCCACTCAACATTTATTTTTATTATTTATAATTATTAATCATCTACTACTACTACTACTACTACTACTACTACTACTACTACTACTACTACTACTACTACTACTACTACTACTTTAAACTTTTTAAATACATTGCAGAGCCAATTTCTTTTGGAAACAAATATAACCATATTGCTGTGTCTTGTATGTATTATTTGCCTCCATTGAAAAAAAGTAGCATTGAAGTGTGCTCTATTGGAATGGTGTTTGTATCTGCAATACAAAGCTCCATACTTTTACTACCAACTGGTCTAACCGCAACGCTGGAACAAAGTTTTCTATAAATCCTAAGTAAAAGGTGTGCTCTTATCTTGAAGGCATCTGCATGCTAGCCATGTGCGGTGACACTGCCCTTCAAACAAAACTGCAACATATTTAAACATTTACTGGCAGTGGAGGAAAAGGGGGGTTGGAAGCTAAATGCTGCAATAGCTGTTTCATGCCAGAATAGTTTCAGGGCGCCAGCGGCTAAATTGGTTTACAAGTTGATGCATTAGAAAAACACTGATGAAAACATAATCAAAAACACAGGGCTAACTCGGCATGCCAGTGAGGCGACATATAAATCAGAAAAGAGCAGATAAGAGCAGAAAGGAGGTTAGGAGGGTGGATTGCAGACAAATAATAGTCACATTTTTGAGAGACAGTGAATAATGCAGGTCAAACTGCCTGCATGCATATTTTTTATATATATTTATTTATTTATTTATTTTTATTTTTTACTTGTTGTAAAAGACACAGGGCTTACAGGTCAGGAGTGCTCTATTATGATGTCTCAATCTAAGCCTCCAGGCAGGTATTTTATGTAGTTAGTTGTGCATGTAAGTCCAACAGTGTGCATGTACCTCAGAGAGTTAGTGCAGACTTTTGTGCGAGTGAGCAAATGGAAGATAATTTATTCATTGTTCATTTATTAAACATTTTGTATTTCCCACACATTCTTTGCTGAGTTTTTAGCAGCGACATGCTGTGCAACTCAAACCAGTGTTTACTCTGGCAGAATAGACATCTCAGCCACATTTCAGACAATAAAGGAGAGAGTTATTAGTCTTCTGGTATCAAGCAGAGAAGTAGGGCAGACGGCAACATCTTTCAAGATATGACAAGAAAACGTGGAGCTTGTGTAACCCAGAATTACAGAACAAACTTCTACTCAAGTAGTCTTTCCATTAACGGAGTGTGTATTCCACTGTTTGACCCCCCGCTCAAAATAACCTTCTGCGTCCAAAAATTATTTACTCTTTTTAAATATAGCCGGAGACCTCAATTAAGTCTGCTCGCCACCTTTCTGTTGGGGCTAAATGGATTTACTATTTCCAACAAATTGCTTCTCCCGCAGTGCACTGGAGGACCGTCACTGTGAATAGTTGTAAGCTTACCCCCTTTTCTAATGTTTCTGGGAAACTAACAAGCAATCCAGATGCCTCTTTTGGAGATTGAATAGGTTTTTTAAATACTTATCTCAAGCCTAGCTGTTTCTTGGATGTGATAGCCACTTGTGAATGCCCCGTGAGAAAAAGCTAAACCTTTTCCTTTATTTTTAAAACTATTTGTCTGACTCATCGCACCTTATTACAGGCAAATAATTATTTAACTGTTCATCAATGCATATCCAGATTTGAACTAGTTACTCCCTATAACTAACAACATATGTCATTTGTGAGGGCATGGATACATATAATTGAGTTCACATTTCAAATTGTCTCTGTGCCAAGCCCTCAGCCACTGCTACACTGCAGCGTTAGCGGCCGTTACAAGCAAATCCAAGACTACACCAAAAGCATTCTTTTCTCGAACAAAGTCAACTATTCTATTTGCAGCACAGCTTTAGATAAATTATTTGTGGCACTTTATAGAGAAAACATACACATATTACACAGTATGTGGCTTATTTCAAAGAGTACAGGGTCTGAAAATGAAATAGGGTAGTTTACAAGCTAAGGGAATCACGACCACATATTACACATGCTGCAAAAACTCCAGACAGTATAGAGAAAGGAATATGTGTATATTCCTTCCTATTCCATTGTATAGAGGCTATAGTTTCCAATCAAAGGCTACTTTTCAGTCTCTCTTTTATCATCCAAGCACTACACGATGTTTTAGAAGAGCAGATGCACAAAATTTGACTTTGAACACAATCCTATGGATCTTAAAAATTAAGTGAAGAAAAAGGATTGATGTGATGCAGTGCCAACCGAGATTCAAATCATAACTGGTATCTGAAACCCTACTTTTGGAGAATTACGATCAGTACCAGTGAATTCTGAGCAAAATCTGGCTAATTATGCCATAAAGCTACTTTCGTCGCTGCTCTCTGGGCTGCAAGACTTTCACATGATGTTCTAATCGACCAATGATACTTCATCCGCTTTGAAAGCCTCTAAAGCACATCTTTTTCAACATAGTGATGCTAATGGGAAAGTATTTTTCCAGTCATTTTGGGATGTCATCTGACATTGTTTATTTGAACCTCTTACACCAAGGCAACCACATGTATGAGGCATACTTATGTTGGCATAAAATTAAGTACTTCTTGTAAAAACAGTTTACTCATTAAAATAGCCAAAAATGTTTTCTTTAAGTGTACAGCAAATCCCAAATACTGTAAATATGGGCATTTCTGTTGACCAAATTCTTCGGACAAACCACTGACATTTATTCAACACAAAGGTTGAATAAATGGACTATGGAATATCCCTAATAGGATCTAGGTCAAAATAACCAGAGTTCTGCTTTAAATTAATACATAAAAAAAATGTTCATGCCAAGTGGTGAATTAAAGTTATTCAACTGTGATTTTTAGAATCAGCGCTCAAATCACATTTAAATGACAAATGTAACTGTAGCCTAACATTATCTTTGGACCAGATAAATACAGACCATCTCTCTGTGACTTTATAATGTAGACCCTCAATCTACATCGATTGGCTTATTTTTCTTTTTCCTCTCCTTCCCCATCTGCAATTCTGATTCTACCTCTGTGCAGCCAAGTGTGTCTATTCCAATACTTGACAGACCCACTGGACGTGCACAGGTAGCCCCTTCGTGCTGCAGAGAGTGACGGATGGCCAACATACCACAGTGGTCGGGTTGCTCATGTTTAATTCTGACTGCAACCTTTTTCACAGCCAGTCATCCTGCTGCTCAGCTCAGGTCCCAGCTCTGCAGGACCCAGGGGAGCAAGAGAGAGTTGTGGTTCTGAGTAGGGGCCCTCTCTGTCCATCACCTTCAACATTTGCCTCAGCGGAACATTCAATTTATTTTATAGCACCACTCCACTTGATAGCACTGACCTCCCAGATCCCTTGGAGAGTAATGAGATGGCTACGCTGATGTCAGTCTCAGTGTTGACTGTGAGGACCAACCACCCAGTGGGGATCTTCAGGAGAGGGGACCTGTAATAAAAAAATTTTTTTAAAAACACAGAGCAGGTAGGAAAGGGGATTAATTTCGGTTGAGGCGTGCTCTGATTTCAAAGGAAGCTCTTCTCAAACCCCACTGTGGCCGATTGTAGCACTGTCCCTTCACTGATGGGCATGTGTGATTGGTTTGTCACGGATGGGATTCATCATGAAATCTAAATACAAGAAAGGGCTTGCAATGAGGCGGTGAGGGTCTCACATGATGCTCCAGAACTGACTCAAAATGTCATAGCAGGGAGCATGACTGTCAGGAAAGAGGTCGCATTTCAATTTGAAGAGTGCCATGCTGTGGCCTGAACAAGGAAATACATCTTGAATTTGACCAGAAAGCAGCCTTTGTCTGTGGAGGTTTAACAGTGATCATCATGCATTATCATCCAGTGACCCCACAGGCTAGAGTTCCTGTGCTAAAACTGTTAAAACCACATTAAAACCTCTCAACATTTGGAACGTGGATGCTCCATTCATATCCAAATCATGCTGGCAGCCACATCTGCAATAAAGCATCTTTTCTGTCTCCAATGCTCATATCATGGTCTTCATTATGACTGTCCGATGAGGAATTACGGAACATTTGAAGAGCTAAAACTAAACTCTCACAATTTAAAGCAGAACATTCGCTCACTAAGATTTAACAGCAAATTATAGCAACTTTTAAAAATAAAATTTGGTTGTCAGAGACATTGGTGGACAGTTTGCCATCTGCTTTTGTTAAGAGAAATTGAATGATGAAATTTAGGAAATAATATTTTTTTCCCAAAGGATACACAACAATTCAAAGGCCTGGTTTCTCTTTAACTCCACCTACAAGGCCCAGACTACAAATACACTACTACTACATTTGGCAGAAGGCCTCATATGGCCCATCAACACAGGAAACTTCGGTTAAAAGGATGTCTTAACTTCACTGGGTCGGTATCAAACTCCATCCGTCTGAATCCACAAAATGGGCAATGCATGGTACACCCCAGACGGAGCACCGGTCTATCACAGAACTCAACATCAAACAGAATAACCATAAATAAACGTAGATGTGCAAAGTTACAAAATTCTGTACTATGATTTCCTACATAAAATAACTAAAACAAAGAATCTGGCAACAGTTCTGCTGTTTCCATTAGGTATGAATTAAAAGTGAAAACATATTTCTTTAATGCTGTCAGGTATTTTTTTATTATTTGTTGTTGACAGCACTTGGAAAGCTAACTCAGCTCTCCCCTCCAAGGACAGTGAGTGGGGATCAGGCCAGTTTAATGACATCACCCGAAACTGTCACTGACATCATATATTGAAAATAAATAAAACAAAGCTCTCCAGAATCATTCACAAAGACTTGTATTAGTAAAAAAAAATGATTTTTGGTGAAATCTTTTTCATTACATGTCCTACATACAAACACACTCATATCACTGCAGAAAGATATAAACTCAGTCATTTAATATGTTGAGAGACACATATTACAAGTCTCTCTTTCCACTCCTCTTTCTCCCACACACCCACAGCCTAAGTCCTTCCTGTCCCACTGATTAACTCAAACATTAATCAGACCTTCAGGTGATTGCTATAAACAGTACTAGTCCATGTGGCCTTGGTGTCAACACATTTCCCTGTGTTTATGTGAAAGGATGCCCGTGCGTCTCTCTGCACCACCTGCTAATTAGCATCTCACCAGCACACCACAGCACAACCTAATTCCACCAGGAGGAAGGCGAGGAGGGAAATTTTGGAGGCAGAGAGAGACTAGGTGCTTAGTGTGAGAGAAACTTGGGCCCAGAAAGAGGGGAAGTGAAAAGGAAACTGGAGAGAGGAAATTAAGGCAGTGACAGAGAAAGTAACAGAGTTTTGCAAGAGGAAGTGGCTGAGAGGGTGGAAGACGGAGGGGGAAGAGAAATTTGGCAGAGCCAGGACTCCTTGAAGATGAGAAACTGAGAGCATGACAGCCAGGGAGGGTGAGGACAGCTGCATCTTTTTGATGGCAGAGGCTAACGTTTGGGTCCTGTCTATCTTGAATGAATACCGTGCATTTTCCTCCTGTGAATTTCTAAATAACACTTTCCCTCTTTGACAGCCTCTGGAGAGAAAGGTAGCCTTCCCCAGGGTTAGTATAAGAGAGTGACAGTTGAGTGTTTTTTTGTTGGGTTTTTTTTGGAAGAAAGAAAAAAAATTAAATGACAAACTCAGTTGGACTGTTGAATCTCAATGATTCTCCTTGGCTCTCTCAAACGTAACGTCTTGACAGCACTGAGCCCTCAGCACAGTCCCAGGCAGTCCTTCAGGCTTACTGCACAGGAATGCAGAGCAGAAGGGCTGATGCCGTTATAAATAACTCATCCTCTCCTACACTTGTTGCAATTAAACACCATTTGAAGTCTACGCTCAAGAGCCGGCAGAATTACCTTCTTTTATCAACGTGATATAGTTTGGGTTCAAAGCCCCCTGCTCACAGCTTCCACAGATGTAGCCTGTGATGCAGCATTTCTCCTGATTGTGTGCAGCACGGGCCAGAGCCCGCATGATAAGGATCATGCTCATTGAGACAATTTAATGCTATTTCTTGGGAATTTCTCTCCTCAGATTGATCCCTTTGAACTGGTTAAATTAGCACGGAAACACTATTTTCCACTCCATTCCCCAAAATAAATGAATAAATACATACAACTTGCTCTGTCTGACGATGGATAAAAGCACCATATGGAGGTCTGGAAAAGTATCTCCAGGGAAGAGTGGGAGAAAACCTCCAAATAAGGACTTGGTATAATGAATCAAAGGGGAGAACAGTGTTTTCATTATTCATGATTTGATGACTGAGAAACACTGATCACCATAATCTGCACTAGTGTTGTTTTCCTTTTAACAGATACCATCATTGTATCATTTTAACAAGAAGCAGCAACATTGTAGGGGGGTGCGGGCAATCTGTGCTCTTTGTTATCACGCCCAGTATATAACAGAGGTGGTCTGGGTGCGTTAACAAAATGTCTGCTGGACTGCTGCGAGGGCTCTGATTTATGGAGACATGCTAATATTATTCCTCACCTTCCAGCGCTTCTCCTGTGCTGCCCACCCTTATTATTAGATTAGTTCCTTTCTTTTCCCTAAAAACACATTGGAGACGGCATCTGGAAGCCATAGCTGTGGCTACCAGGAGCTTTAAAAACCAGGGCAGGGACTGTAGCAGGGGTATTGTAACTTAAGGGAATTTATGTGGCTGGTAGGACAGGAAGTTGCCACTGTGGGCAAACCTGAGAACTCAGCTTTTTTTTTTGGACGGGGGGCGGGGGGGTTGGGCAGATTTTTTTCACCAGAAAGATTTTACACATTCTTGATAAATTTTCTACCTATCACACAAAGAAAGTAACAGTAACAGAAAAAAATATTAGATTGGAAACGTCATCAGACAGTTTTTGTGTGACCCTTCAATTTGCAATACAGTTGGTGATTACTTCTGATTAGATTGAAAAGCAGCCAGTGTATGAGCAGCAACAGATAAATAGAATAAAACCTAAATTGTAAGCCTAGTCCCAATTAGACACCTGTCCCTTTTACTGGCCCGGTGTGGCTACACATTTTGACAAATAAACGCAGGTCTCAATTAGAAGCCTGGTCTGGTTTTCATAGAATTTCTCTGGATGTATAAAGGCCTTTTCACACTGGCGTGTTCCTGTGAAACTGTCGCGGCCGTGCTCATCTCACGCACACGCCCGCCCCTGCCAAAGTTGAATTGACTTGAACTTTTTGTACGTGACGAGCAGCACAAAAAGAAGATGAAATGTATAACTGAACAGTTTTCGGGACATTAAAGGAGGGCGTTTGAATGACTAGATTTATCAGCTATATGAATAATATATATAATAATATCAACTTAACGTTACTTATAGTTTTACTTTAAGCTAGGCTATGAAGGAATACAGTAGCGCACAGAAGCCGTTGCCGTGGTTACTATCTAGCCTTCCGTTTACTCACGGAGCACTTATCTTCGTGTCTGTTCACATGGGAAGCGCAGAGCAACCCCGCAGGGTCAGGCGACTACGTAGGCGGTGTGTCACTTCCCGTGTGAAAAGACCTTAAAACCTCTTGAAGCCCTCTTGAACTACTAACGTGCATACCAATATAAATGTCAATATGGACATGTTACACATCATTACATCGGTTAGATTCTCCACAATACAATCTTTTAGTTCATTTTAAGGAATCACTTAGCACCAAAGAATTATTCATACAGATTTACCTGCATGGTAAAGGAATTTAAGGCCTTTCCCATATAGATGCCTGTCCCAAATACAGGCAGGGTGAGTACAATGATTTAAGCAAATAAAAGCCTGAGCTATTAGTTGAAGTTCTACGGTGCTTGTCTTACACATACTTTCCCTAACAAAGCTCTTAAAGCCACAGTGTAAACACACCGGGAACTCCATCCCCTGAGTTATGCTAATTACAGATAAGGCAGGAGTGGTTCATAGGTAATACCAGATGGATAAGATGGTTGTAGATAAAAGAAATACATTTTCTTGGTCCTTACACAACTTGAATAGCAGTTAAGTAGGTTTAAATTGGTTGGCTGAAATTCGAAGGGGGAATAGTGGAAAAGAACATGTTCCCATATAGCCATGGAGTTTATAAATGGGCCTACTGGATGATGTAATAATATTTAAGCTGTTTACTTGCTCGGCTTTGCTTCAATAAACTTAACTGTCATTAGTTCTTGAACAGAGGCAACTGCAGAAACACAGCTGTAATGAGGCTAAGAGGAGGAAAGCCAACAAGTGAAGTTTTCAGCCCTTTAAAATTTGAAAAGAACTTGAGTCCAGACTGTAAGAAAAGTGCTCCACCTCGATCAAAGTGGTGAGATAAGCAGGGCAGATTAATACTTAAGGGAGCAGGGCTTAATATACTACAACCATGAACAAGTCGATCTCCCACGCACAACAATCTCTGAAGTATTTTGCTCACTAATGGAGTGTTTTGAATGAGCG